GCGGCCGGAGAGTGCGGCGATCCGAGCTCGGCGAGCCGCAGCGGCGAGCGCCGGCCGGCCGGGCCGCGCTCCGAGCTGCTGGCGGCCGCGGCCGGCGCCGGCGGCGGCGGCAGAACCAGCCGCGGCGCCACGGCCAAGGTCGCAGGCCGCGCCGGACGAACCTCCACCGACACCTCCATGGCGGGTCACATGGCGCCGCCGCCCGCAGTCCGCCCTCACACCGGGTCACCACTGAGCACTCGGGCGGGTCACCACCTCAGGTCACCGCCGGTCAGCCGCCGCGCCGGCCTCCGCGCGCACTTTCACTGTCCGGCGGCGGCGTCTCACAGGTGCGGCCGGCCCGTGTCGCGGCCGGCGGTCGACTGCGGCCGGCCGGCCGGCCAGGTGGGCGCCCCTGGACACTGTTTGTGCGTGTAGCCGCCGGCGGCGCTCCGCCGATCCTATCTGTGGCGTGCGCTCTCTCTTCCCCGGGCCGCCTCCGCTGCCGCGCCCCGCCGCGCCAGACAGATACCGGGGCGTGATCCACCCAAGATTACTTCACTACTTGTCCTCCCAGCTTCTACAGTTCACCACTGGACCGAAATATGACACAGTTTTTCGAATGACCTGGCCTGGGCGCCAGGTAACCTTGCCCAGCTGTCAGGTGACCTCGTCCAGCCATCAGGTGACCTGGGATTCACTATAACCAGGCAGCCATTTTTTTCTGAAGGTACGAAAAAGTTTGCCGAGGAGTAATCCAATGCAGGGAATCGACTAAAAAAAGTTGGTGGCGCCTGTTGTATCATGTGACCCATCTTGTTGTGAACATCGGACAACGTGGGCCTTTCGTCAGGTGCCCTGACTGCTCTATGCGCCCCTCCTGACGGGGAGGGCCGATGACCCTCGCCGAGGGCGTGACTGGATCACAGAGGTCACCCGCTGAGCGCTCCACGACAACACACACATAAAGTGGCGCGGCGCGACAAAAAACGGCGCGGGTGCGGACCGTCGCCGCTGCGCGCCGGGCCGGGACGCGGCGGGGCGCGGCTCGGCCGGCAGCGCGAGCCGCCGCTTACAGCATCTCGCCATCTCGTCGTTATCGGAAATTGCACCTAGTTACCGGCTCGGAACCGCCCGCAACGAGCCGGACCCGCCCACACAAACCACAGACTCGCCAGCATCGGTACCGGCCTCGCCAAAACTGCTATAAATTCACACCTACTTAGTAGCACCAGCCTCACCTACTTGAGCCATAGCCACACTATCCCATATCAACCCCACACATGCAACCCGAGCTTGCAAGGTGCTGCGCCATCCACTGTGACAGTAACACGGACAGGCAGGCAGACAGACAGACAGACGGTGGAGCTGACCAGTGACGCTGCGTGGGTGGTATAAGTATACTGCCATTTGCAAAGCTCCGACTGCGGACTGTAGGTGAGCAGCGACCCGCAGCGGCCGACACAGAGTGACGCGAACAGGGTGCTACGGACCGACACCCGGCGGAGGGGAAGGACGCTCCTTCGCCGCAGCGAGGTCAAGGCCGTGCCCCCCCCCCCCCCCGCAGCTGAACTCATCAGAACCCAGCAGGAAAGGCTGCGGCAGCGGCGCGGCGGCGCGGCGGCGGCGGTAGCGGCCTTGGCGCGTGGCGTCGGTGCCGGGTGATACGGCGGCGCCCGTACGGAGCGGCGCCGGCCCGTCACCGGACGGCCGTCCATATACGGCGGACACGGGCCGTGCCCGTGCAGAGCGGTATCGGCCGCCGGACACCGCGCCGCCCGGTGCACAGAGTCCGTACGACCGACCGGCCCGACCCGGCTGACCAGTGACCAGGGAGCTATGTCAGGTCAGACATGCCTCTCACACCCGCTGTGCCACTGCTCAGCGGCATGCAACGCTCCCAGTAGATGCCGCCGGGCCAGCCTGACCCGGGTCGTGACTGACCAGCCTAACTAGGTAGCCATTCCACCCCTTCCCAAGCCCCGGCCCGCGTCTGTAACAGCCGCGTGTCCCCACCGGTATGCAGGGAACACACGGACACACGTCAGCCTTTGGGTGAGCTATGGCCACGCTCAAGGGCGCTGTCCAACATCAATCAATTGAACTCGAACCGACCTGTTACATGCGATCTTACGGGATCCATAGCGCACACCACTGTGACTTATAGGACGACCCAAAAAACTCTGAATATCTTCCAATGTCGTAAAACTTCACCATGAGCTACTACATGTTTAGGGCGTCATAAATCACATCTCAGAGTCGCTATGCGGTTCGACTATCATCTGGCGTTCGACCACTTCTGTCAGTCATCGCTGTTTCGCTGCATCTCATCGCAGAACAATAGACCAACGGCTCGTTCAGTGGGTCGTTTACTATAATGTCTGACATCCGTCACAGTTGAGTAGCACAATCATATAACTGCATTTACTTGAGGCATAAATACGGCGCATGCACACTGGTCCTGTACAGGTTGCGAGTATGATCGGGACTGGTTCTAATTTTTATCGACGGATGACGAACTACCCAGAAATTGCCTAACAGGTGCCATCGCCATGTTCAAAAGGATTGCTAATGCTTCAAAGAACTGTTCAGTGTCCATTCAACGTCGTCCATTCAACCCAACCTTCTCGATGAACATCTCTGCAGCGCTGGCCAACAAATCAATACGCACGGGCTCATAAAGTACCCAAGTCCTCCGCATTTTTGCTTCATCCTCTAGATTTCAAAGAAGCCGCGTAATCTGGTAGGATTCATGTTTGACTCGTGTTTCTGCTGCTGCTTACCGAACCAGGCGAAACGGCGCGGACGGCCACATTTAATGAAATGCCCGTACGGCTGAGCCGCCGCGAAGTTAAGCCCCAGCTATGACGGTTAACTGGCGAGTGCCCTCAGGCGGACTGGGTCGAGTTGGCGCCAAAGCCGGCGTGTCGCGCCATTATTCTCCGGTGGAGATCCAGCCGAGTAGCGCTGAGCTGCGGCCGAACAAGCCGCAGCCCAGAGCTGCCACAGCTCCACAGTTCTAGAGCTCAGCGGCAGGGACACACACGCCGAGACGGGCGCAGTGATGACTGTCAGAGAGTCCAACTACACAGTTCCCCTCCGCTCCATTCTACTCCAGCAACCCCTCCTCTCCCCTCTCTCCCTCTCTCCCTCTTTAACCCTCTACCTTACGTCAGCCGCGCCGGCCGACCAGCAGAACCAGCCGAGTTATCCCAATGAAGATCTGCCGTCCGAATTCAGCCCTTCTTGAGCCAATGGTTCCGCGGCCGCCGCCCGCCCCACGACGACTCCGAATCGGCCCGAAAATCCAGTATCGAGCCGGCCTATCGCGGAGCACGAGCGATCAGCCGACAAGCGAACCGACCCCGGGGATACACTTGGACAGTCGGCCTGATGGCCGCCGACGACCCGCCACGACAGAATCTTTTCAGACCGACATGGCCGGGCCCTTTTATGCCCACTAAACCGCGCCGAACTGGGCAATACGGATAAAGCCTCGGCCACATATTCTCCGATCGTAAAGGTGAAATCAGTGTCGGTCGGACGGCTCGGATCATAGCTGGTGAGAAATTCGCGTCCCGTCGGAGGGCGAACGCCGGAGGTTCGGCGCGGAGCCGTCGCTCGGAGGGCGGAGGTCGGTCAGCGGGCACTCATTTCCCCACCATATCCGAGCGCGGACCGTGTAAATTGCAGCGGCGGCATTCATCACGTCAAGGAGACGGCCGTCGGCGATCAGTCTCCGCACTGCCGGCCTGCCGCGGCGCCGGTTCATCGCGCCGACACACAGGGGTGGTGGGCTGACCCGGGGGCTGCCTGCATAACCTGTACTGGCCTGACCCCCCCCCCCCCTCCCCTAAGTCACAAACCCCACTGAAACATCTCGCTCAGATGGCCTGGCAGAGTGTCGGTCGGATCATCCCGAGAGCGATGTTTACAAACACATACTTCAATGCTGGGTCAGCCGTAGGGTGGCTCGACGGGCAGGCCTGACATGACATAGGGGGCGCTATGGCTGTTGCCTACCCGAGTAGTTGGACCTACCTGAACTATTGTCAGGGCAACCGACGGAAAGAGTAAAGAAGATAGGGATAGAGAGAGAGAGAAAGAAAGAGAGAGAGAGAGAGAGAGAGAGAGAGAGAAAGAGAGAGAGAGAGCGAGAGAGCGAGAGTGAGAGTGAGAGCGAGAGCGAGAGCGAGAGAGAGAGAGAGAGAGAGAGAGAGAGAGAGGGAGAGAGAGGGAGAGAGAGAGAGAGAGAGAGAGAGAGAGAGAGAGAGAGAGAGGGAGGGAGGGAGGGAGGGGAGAACGCAGCTCCGTCCATCACTGTCTCACCCACTCTCTTCCTCCCCGACGTGGCGCCCGGTCAGCCATCAGACGCCAATCGAATTAATCAGTTAATGAGCCAATCAGCCGCTCCGTCTAGACGGTCTGAGAGTGTGAGACGGTCCGGTGCCGTCTCCGGTGGGGCTGGCAGCCACAGGTGTGTCTCTCGGCGGGGACAGAACACGGACAGTCGCGCCGGGCCGGGTCCATCGACCGCAGAGCGGCGGGTCGCCGCCAGTCGCCGCCTCCGGGCGCGCTCATAAACCGTGGCAGAGCGACGACACCGGCGACAGACGGAGGCGGCGACAGGTAGAGCTGGCACAGCGGACAGCGAGCGCAGCGGACAGAGGAGACAGCACAGCGGACAGCGGGGACACGGGCAGGAGCGGCGACAGAGCCCACATAGCGGACAGCAACGAAAATGGACACGGGACAGGGGGACACGGGTAGAGGAGCAAGCACAGTGGGATACAGGCAGAGAGCGGCTTAGGGGACACAAATAGCAGAGTTAATACAACGGGACGTTGACGGAGGAAACATGGATGTTGGATATTTGCAACAAAGACCTTAGGAAAACGGACAGTGGAGTCTGCACAGCGAACGCAGACGGTGAAGCCAGGCGCCAGCACAGTAAGGTCAGCACAACTGGTGGACATATGATCTCCCCGTGGGAGGACTATCATACGCCGCGCGGTACTCACCACCAGTGTGGCGTCGATCTTGCGCCGCGCGGCGTCGGCCTGCTGGCGCAGCTCTGCCCACTTGTCGCCCAGTTTGGCGGCCTCCCGGCGGACGGAGCGCACCAGGTCGCGGGTCTGCTCCACGTCGGACCGGTAACCGCGACCGTCGCCATCCGCATCGCTGCGAGCTGAAACACGGCGCACGCAATAACAGGTTAGGTCAGGTCACATCAGATCAGCTAAGGTGTCAGGCCATGTCAGGTCAAAGCAGCTAATGTCAGCTCAGGTCAGGTCAAGTCACTTAGATCAGGACAGGTCAGGTAGGCTCAATTCAAGTCGCCTAAAGCATTATTCAAACATTTAGCTCGATTAATGCCAAGCCAGGTGATATTTGAACAGGTGAGTGCATCAGACCAGCCCGAACCCTCAGCCGGGTCCTTTGGGTCATGTCTCGCAGCTCTGACACCAACTTGGTTCACCTGTCTACCGTCGATGCGGAGTTGAGCGCCGCGAACTCCGTGTGAGCCAGACGGTAGTACATTCCCATCCGCTCAAACTTGGCTCGTCTAGTCCCGCGGCGGCGGTGTGCAGCGCCAGCGTCCCCCGCGCAGGGCCCAGGTGAGGGAAGGGGCGGGGGGAGCGTGTACGATCTGCGGTTAAAAACCCACCACCACCGCCGGGGCGGAACACTCGGGCAGTATCGGCGGCCGTTCCGAGTCGTTGGGACTCCCGGCACGTGCTAGCCCTGTGTCGGCTGGTCTGGAGAGGGATCGGGAGGGCGGGGAGGGAGGGAGGGAGAGAGGGAGTGTATCGGCTGGCGAGGAAATCACGCCCTGGGGAGCATTGGCCATCCCAGAGTCCACTCCACAACCCCGTCCTGTCAGCCACAGGTCCGGCGACGGTGGCGCTGAGCACCACCTCGCCGTACAGCGCAAATGGCGAGCAGTGCCACATACCAATGTACGAGATCGTTCAGTCGGTACCGGGACCTACAATCGAACGGGGAACCAGTCAGTACAGAGGACCGGCACTCAATCGGCTGGGGGATCAGTAGGTGCCAGCCCTGAAGAGTGATTAACTCGAGAGGGAGCATTAATATATAACACACCGGACAAGTACGACCAGAAGAGGTTCAATGGAAGCTCAGCCACTTCCGTCGTGGCAGTGGGCCATGCAGGTGATGGTCAATAAATAGGTAAGCAAGGCAGAAAATAAATCAATAAATGTAATTCATCAGGTTACTGCCGACATGAATATGCTGAGCAAAAGCACAAATACGCCGGCTACAAATAATAAGCTAGTCCTATCCATTTATCCATCCCTGAGTCGGTAATATCAAACTCGACTAGAGACATTTTTCCGAGAAAATAGCAGCCTAGCCCGCCACCCACACTGTACGAGCAAATCAAGAGCGATCTCAATGCCGCATAGGGCAGGAGAAGCAGATCAATGAGCATTGAGTCATGCTAATTTGCTCCACAGAAAAACAGACTCCGCTGACGTGAATGCTGGCCGCAGTCCGTGTTTTCGCCGAGGACTTCATCAGCCCCGTACCGAAGCCGCCATTCTGCGAGCAGCAGCACACTGAGAGTGGAGACGGCATTTCGGTCCGCCCGACCCGGGCCAATCAATGACCGCAGGGCGACGCCGGCCGCGGAATCGCGAGCAGAAGAAACACAAAATGAACGTCTCCCGGAAGGAACAGCAGAGACTCAGTCCCGGGAGAGGCGCGCTAACTTCGGCACTAACCGAGTCCGCTTCCGCCCCGGAAGGACCCACATGATACATTGTCACCGCACTGAAGTTAAGGCGATTAAAGCAATGGTTTGGTCGGTGCTGAGACAGCGAGTACCGAGAATCTGACACATGACCGGCACAGACTGGCAACACAAGAGCGCTGAACAGCGACCTGCCAGTGTCAGTTTGGAGCCGGCACCAACCCACGACAGCGTCACCATACCTAGAGACCGGTGTAGTGCAGAACAAAACACCTTCGGCGCTCGGCAGGTGAATTTCAAACACACTCCGATCGGACAAAGCGGATCACGGTTTTACGATTTTATGTTTGGACACTTTTGCTGCAAAACAGTGCCGTTTGGGGCCGCATTCAGGGCCCGACGCGCCCGCTGGCTCACAGATGCCATTATCCGCGACCGTTCGGCAGTCGGGACCGGCGCGGCGACCAAAGTTCAGCGCTCTCCGTGGGCTCAACAGGGGCCGGCGGCGGGTCCAAGCTGTCCCCGGGCGGCCGGGACGCGCTCGTTGCGCCCGGCTATGGCGTGCTCGGCCGGCGGCGACAGGCCCGCTCAGACAGCGCGGTCGTCCCGGGCTCCAGCGGGCGGCTCCCGCAGCGGCCGCCGAATACATTACCGTGATGGAGTCGGAAATTGGAGCCGGCTGCCGCCACCCAGCGATGCATGCATAATTCGACACCGACCTGACTAAACCATCCTCAATCCCAACCGCAAACTTCACACCTCGCTACACTATGCTTCAGCGCCGAGAATTTCAAGGCGTCAATGAATTCGCTCTGTCGAACTCTTGAAACCGCTCGACGGACTATGTAAACATCTCTTACATCGGCAGAAATCATCTCGTCTAGCGAGGATCAGAGACTGGCGGTCTCGGATCTCTCCGACGCTGGGCCGGGGGTTTACACAGGCTGAAGTGGATGGGTGAGTGGGGTGGGGTCTCTCACCCTCGCTGTCGCTGGACTCGGACAGGCCGGCCGCCTCTGCAGTGATGGCGCGCGCCGCCTTCAGCTTGCTGTCGATCAGCGCTTGCTTGTCGTCCAGCTGGCTCAGCAGGGAGCGGACGTCCTCCTGGACAGAAAGAAAGACAGTGATAAAGACATAGTAGCGATACACAAAGTCGACACAGTGATACACGCAAACACAGAGCCAAGGTGAGGCCGGTTTTCTCACACTGTGCGATGTATACTATGCAATAAATGCATGCATATTCATTATTCAATGAAGGTGCATAAACCGATGAAATGACAGCCAAACTCTCCGAAAGCACCTATTTTACGATCAATTCCCACGTTGGGCTAATATTCGCAATTAGAGTCCCCCATCGGCGCACAGTAAACAGTGGCTCGCCCGATATGAGGTGTGCGCGCTCCGTCCCCAGGGTAGGCTGCCGACGGCTGTTGACGGCTCTGTGAGGCCGCGGCGCCGCGTCAAACGAGCAGCACCGGCCGCGGCCGCTCACACGGCGGTGGATTCTATGCTACCAGCGGGACATTACGACGGGGCCCGGCGGTTAGGCCACTGCCGCTCCAGGGCGGTGACCGAGGCCCGTGTCACAGCGGCTGTTTATGCCGGCGGCCGCACGCGACGTTTGACAGCGGCCGGTAAATGAGACCGCCGTGTCACCGCTCAGTCACACCGACACCGACCGCCGAGGGGCGGGGGGGGGGGGGGAGGGGGACACCGGCCGACAGCACGGCCACAGGCGGCCGGGCTGGAACAGCGACTGTCGTCCTTCCAGTGCTTTTGCCAAAATATTGTGTAGTGTGGCCTCGCCCCAACTTTAACTCCTGGACACTCCTACCAGCCGTCTAAGCCAAGGGGAGCGCTTTTCTCTGTCTTTATATCTGTCTTCTACACTTGTGCCATGCTCCCTTCCTGTTTCCACCCTACAGTGTGTCCCGCTCTCACCTGTTGTCTCTGCAGGGCGGCCACATCTCCGGTGACCAGTCCCAGCCGGCCGAGCTCCGTGTCTTTGCGGATGGTCCACTCGAGCAGCTCCCGCAGAGACAGCAGCAGCGCTCCCCAGCTCTCCGAGCTGCTCTCCACCCGGTTCCTGCGGACACACGGCACCACAGACTGTCAGACACTGAACGGAAGCGCACTGTAATACCTCAGCCAGACGGATACGTACCCGCATACTACATATGTTCCATGGACAGAATAATTAATGGCTATGCCAGAATTATAAGCGCGGGCACATCTGTCATTAAAAAGGTAACGGTTAACTATTGAGTGGTTAGGTCAGTGCTGGCGAGGGCCGCTGTTCAATAAGGATAACGAACAAGCGGCAAACGCTACTCAGGAGCACGATAAGACCACTGCTCAATTTGTTTTTGTGAAATTAGCAATAGCTTTTAGTCTTAGCGTAGCCTTGGAACATTGCAACAATATCCCACAGAAAGCCGCCAAGTGCGAGGCACGTGTGGCCTAGTGACACAAAAACCACTAGCGGCACAGAAAGCTCCAATCATCTGCAGTGTTTCTTATTGAAATGATTCTTGGCAATCGGCATTTACCCGAGCTCGTAAGAACGACCTACATCTGGCAGGGAACACTTCGGGGCGATGTATTCACGCAGCTCGCAGTGGTAGCGTCAGGGGCTTCATATTTATATCATCAGATCAGTGGCAATATAACATAGCGCGCTGTAGTCTGATCATTGGGCCATATGGGGCCATGCTACAGAATATCGTACAAGTACCTAACTAATATGTGCAACAGCTGAAGACAGCATCAAAGAATTTCTGCCAAACTATTCGCAAAACACGAACAATTCAAGAAAAAAATGTAAAAAGTTCAGTTTGAGTTTAAGTTGCAATGCTGTTTTTTTTTAATCAAATCGCGTTTCAAATGCATGATTGCGCTAATGTCCATCAAGGGTGCTCGCATAATCAGTTGTGTTTCACGCTCATTTACCTTAATAAATAATTTTCGATTCGCGAACTGGAAGACACCGATATCAATCAACACTGCATGCTTCAGCGGCTCGAGCTGCGGTCGGTCGGCGCTCGCCTCCAGCCCGGAGTTTGGTCAGCCACAACTCGGATGTTTATAAATGTTCGACATGGCGTGCAGCGATTGAATTATCCGGGGTCGGAGGGCGCCGCGCTGCCGGCTGAGATATGGCCGCCGCCGTCCAATTCGCCGCCTTCCCAGACACTCGACGCAACATAATACCGGCTGATGGACGGGCGGCCGGGCCGTCGCCGCCGACTAGCCCAAATCTCACACATCAATAGCCATTACGGCGGCGGCCGACCGCCTATCTCGGCGCATCACGCCAGCGCCAGAACAGAGCAGAGCACGACCCTGCGCGCTACGGAGAACAGAGAACGCCACCGCACGGTGCGTCGGAACGCACGGCCGCTACAGGGTCCGACTGGCAGGGATTAGCCCCGGCAGAGCGCGCGCACGCCTCATACGGTCACCTTTGAACCAAGCTGTTCGCCGGGCGGTATTTCAATAACGTCCCGGGGCTGCCGACCCAGTGAACAGCCGTATTAATTCAGCCAAAAATGTCGGCTCCCTGGCCCCCGGAGACAGGGTGTACCCACTTTCGTCGGTTTGCTTCCAGCGTAGCGCTATTCGAAGACACTTTAATTAACAGGCCGGAGGAAATTCGCACGCACGGACGCGCTCGCAGACATACATATCTCGTGTCCGTGTCGGCTCAACCCCAGCGTCAGCTGGGACGAGCGAGCCACTTCAAACGGCGCCCAGTGCCTCTCCAGAGAGCCGGACGACAAGTGTCTGCTGCGACTAGCTGTTCCGCCGGCGTGTCATCCCACCCCATCCCGTCCCCTACTACCAGCTACACCGCACTTAGAGCCAGGCTCTGTCTCGGGAGCCAGCACTCGTAGAGCGCAGGGACAACACGTGGCGGCCCGCAGGCCGGCGTTCACACGTCAACTCGACCAGCCCGTGTTGGAAAGGTTGGCCGGAAAACGTGACTCGGTCAGCGCATACCGACACTCACAGTTAGCCAGTCAGACGTGACTGAGCTGTGCAACACTCGCCTGTCTGCCGGACAGACCTGACTGAGCTGTCCGACACTCGCCTGTTTGCCGGACAAAGCTGTGCAACACTCGCCTGTCTGCCGGACAGACGTGACTGAGCTGCCCGACATCACCCTCTGTCGAACACACGACTCTGTTCCCTGTCCGACACCCGGGTCGGCACCAGTCGGGGCGCCCATCGCTCAGCGCCAGGGCCCAGGTGTGCACCTCGCCGGCCCGTTTGGCGTCGCGTCTGGTCCGTACGGCAGACGGCCGGCGGCTGATGGCCCCTATCAGTCGCCCGACGAGCGCTGCTCAAATATTCACGCTCCTCGCTCACCGGCGACCGTGATCGGAGCTCCCCTCCGTCCTCTCACGGACTCTCACCCTCTCTCTTCACTCACGCGGCCGACGTCCCCTTCAGAGCTGATCAGGGAGGGAGCGGTCCCGAGCCGCGGCGGGGCTTCCCTTCATTTATAGAGTGCAGAGACGCCGGCCGTGCCGTTTCGAGCAAGCCGCTCCTTGGACCGCTGGACAGTATCCGGAACCAGAGAACAAGAACTAGTACAAGAAAAGAAGACAGAACTAGAAGATACAGTGGTACCTAGAATAGAATGGGGGTGGGGACTGGGCAGTGGGCAATGATATGATACGCAAAGCACCACCGTGACTGGAGTATGCCAGCTGAGATTCACAGGGAGCCGTAGGTAGCCACCATGACTGGCTGCCGGGCGGCTGGATCTCGTCATTATTCGGCTAACACAATTAACCTGTGGCAATTAGGGGCGGGTGCGGGCCGGCCGATTGCCGCCCGCCCCGCCCACCGAGAGCAATTACCGCCCGCCCTGGACGACACAGCTGACTGGTCAGCCGGCCGGGAGCGCGGCGGGTAGTTTGGGACCGAGCGGCACGGGTCCCGTCAGCGCTGAGCTGAGGGACTGCGCTGTCCGACAAACTCCGCACGCCGCTCTCAGAGTGGTGAAGTCCATGAACGGGGTCGCAAGACCAAGACAAGCCTAACACGCCGATCTAAGCAGTGACAGATCAGTCGGTCGCCGACAGGGTCACATGGTCATGTGATAGTGGTCGGACACCTCCGGTCTACTAACCTGGCCACAGGAGCAGACTGCGACCACTGTGATCAACAACCTACATCGACAACCATTGACAAACGAGAAGCGACAGAGGGGAAGCACGGCTAACCACCAACGGAGTAGTGAGCGGCGCGCTCATGGCTGGCCTCTGCGCTCGATGGCTTTCCGCCGCTCTCTGGGGCTGCCGTCCCGCTCTGAGGCAGCCTGCCGCTCTCTGAGCCAGCCCCTGCGCTCTGCCTCCAGGTGAGACCGTCTGATGCTCTCTGAGACAGTCCACCCCGCTCTGAGGCAGCCTGCCTCTCTCTGAGCCAGCCCTCCCGCTCTGAGGCAGCCTGCCGCTCTCTGAGACAGTCCACCCGCCCTGAGGCAGCCTGCCGCTCTCTGAGACAGTCCACCCCTCCTCTCTGAGGCAGCCTGCCGCTCTCTCAGCCAACCCCGCTACTCTGGGCCAGCCCGCCGCTGCTCTGCCGCCAGGTGAGACCGTCCGCCGCGCTCCGCCGCCGTCCGCCGGATGGATTACCTCCGGCGCTGATTGAAGTGCAGCCGTCGCGCCGTTATGAATCTAATTCTGTCCGGGCCCGGCGAATTCATCACCCCGGAGTAGAGCACGGTCGGCGGAGGGGCATGACCTCTTCGCAGCCGATCGGCCGAGAGTGGATCGGGACGACCATGCCCTCACCGTTCCCCGTTCGATGCATCAGGGGACCAGGAGCGCCCCCGGTAGCGGCTATCAGATCAGAGAGATGGCGATTGGAATTTCATGGCGTCCCGATAATATAGCGTTATATGGCACCTACGAGGCCCAAACGGCACAGACAAAGGCATCAAATGAAGAGTGGTGGACTGGGCGCGCAGTAGCAGCTCAGCATCGAGCCGGTGCTACCTCTGTCCGCGCTATTCGCTCAGTGAAAGCCTGGAGTTATAGCGTGGACACAGTAGCCATCGGAGTGACCAACTGCCGAGGTCTTAACAGCACTGGCGGTATATAGAGCCAGGTGACGTGTCAGCTCTTCCTCCCGGTGCTCGACGATTGATACACCGATACTGGACTGAAGCTGACACGGTGTTTACCGACACCTTTCAGCACGACAGAACAGAGGTGGTGGCACACCAGGAGTTAATGAACTGACTGCAGACTGCCACTGACGAGCTGTGTAGGGTCACCCATCACCCTGGGCCGGGTCAGTCATCAGCTGGCGGCGCCGAGTGTGACCTTTGGCGCGTCCGTGCCGACGAGCGGTAAGATCGATAGCCGATTCCTACCTATGTACTTGTACAGGGTGATTCATAGCCGTGTGACCGAAAATAAATGAAAACTACAGGAAATGCATTCGTGTTACATGCCATTGCCAAGTACCATATTAAACAGCCAAATCTGAAGTTTTGATCCATGTATAGCATCAGTCACAAATACTTTTCCTTCGACTCTCACACTTCTTTTAGACAAGATGTTCAAAATGGCCACCTCGGCGACGGATGCACTCCAGCGCCAGAGCCTAAAGTTGGCGATGGCGCGGACGCACAACATTTCTAAGGAAATAGAGCCAAAGCAGCTTCCAATGGCATCCTTCAGCCCCAGAATATCCTGGGGACTCTGATCATAGACCTCGAACTTTGCATAGCCCCGGAGGAAGAATTTCACGACGTTGAGCTCCGGCGAGTGTGGCGCCCACCTGACCTCAGCGCTCTTTGAAATCAACTTTCCGGGGTTCGCTTACCAATTTTTTTTTGTGCCGTGTTTATCACTGAACCGTGCCCTCTGCTTTGAATTGATTAACGATTCTATGAATTGTTATCTTCTTTGGAGTTTCCCTTGGGTGCAAGCCCTCAGACGTGCAGAAACATCTTTGTGTTTGTTTGACGGACTGCGTTAACCTATACAAATTACACATTTTTACTTTTTGCTGCGCTGTGTACATCTTGAGCGGTACACACAGACCAGACCAAGATAGAACAAAACTTCATAAAATTTTCTACTAGCACGTGAAATTTCACGCGGAAATATGCAATCCTCTTCTCAAGAGAGATCAACTAAATAGGTCACATGGCTATGAATCACCCTGTATATCATCGGTGCGCACAGGCGACTGACCGAAATTGAATCTGATGCCCTCCGCCTCCACAGGATGCCCATGAAATTCACAATTTTCCACTGGCTAGTTCGAGAAATGGTACCACATGAGCAGCGCACTTTGGATATGGAAAACGGCTATTTGTAAAAGCTATATCCAGCTGCGGCCGATTGCACATGGTAGGTTACATAACGCACCCAAATATATTTTCTAGGTTCCCATAACTATGCATACGTTAATTATAGTATTATCAATACGTTCCTCGTCTTGCGAAACAATAACACCTTGCCTAAAATAGTGAATGAGCCAATGAATCGATCAGCTGAACGTGTATGGGAAAGCCCACGGACGTCTTGGTTCCGCTAGCTCAGCTCACCTTTGAAAGGGGTGGCGTGAGGTCAATGGCACTGGGTCAATGGAGATAATGGCCAGATAAAGTGATCCAGCTAAGATGGAACTGCTTTACATCTTTTACCAACTATTTCGGAACGACCACTGCGAACAATTACCTAAAATCATTCGCCTATCCTACGCAATGCCGTGTTGAACGGCGGCGGACGGAGCGCCAAAGGGCGACAGGGGGCAGTACGGGGCTTTATGGGTTTATGGAACTCACTTGATGGCGACGGCCCGGTTTTTCAGGTAGTTCCAGCGGTGGTTCATCTGGTCTAGGCGACACTGCAGCATGGAGGCCTCCTCGGCATTGTCCAGGCCGGCGCCCAGCTTCTGACCGCCGCCCACCAGCGAGGCGTACACGTCCCGGTGCGAGTCAATTTCCGTCTGCAGGTCCTGCGAGGTCAGAGCGGGGAGCCTGTGAGTGCGGGGACATGGTACAGGGACATAACGGAGACATAGAAGAAATATGGAAAACAGTCAGAAAAGGTCATGATCAAATGAAACATAGTCATAAGCGAAACGATAAGAACGGTACGGGACGCAAGTATAACGGGCACGGTCAAAACGGGACATGGGGCACCCGGCACAGCCAGACTGTATCATAGTCAAATGGGGCCATGATCAGGTTGGATGAGAGCCCGGTCACTGGGAACACGGTCAGACAGGAGACACTTTGAAGAAAACTTATTCAGAGGGGAGCATGTTGTCAGACGAGGGACGCTGAAAAGGGAGATCGGAGTGAACGTTATTGCGTGAGAGGGGGCGACTATGCTGGCAAACACTTATGGCAGATAACCACTTGTTATCTCGCTTGTGCAGTTATGTCGACACAAGTCAGCAAGGCGATACTCTTACATGGTCAAACAGCTGACAAGAAAATCGATCCTCGTCAAAGCACACCAAGTCATTGGCAGAACCAAGCCCAGACCAGCCTTTGGCAGTACCAAGTCTCTTAGCCGTGCCAGACCACGTCATGTGACATTCATAATACACTTCAACCCTAGGACACGCTCCGTGCCACCGGCGATTTTCCAAGAACCCGGGGGTCACTGCATTGATTATTGCTGGGCAATCTGTACCTCGCCATGATTGTGCCGTTAGCACCGGAGCCAACGCCGATGAATAACTGACCACCTGACTGGCGGCGGCAGATGGGAACTGTTCAGCACCCCAGGGCGTGTCGGTCACGTCCAGAGACCAAGTGAGGAGTGTTCGTCCTCTCTGACTACAAGTGGCACCAACAGCAGACAGAGTCCAGAGGCGCTTTAACGTTAGCCAGGCGGGTATCAATAGCTCCACCCATGATGCATCGGGACACCGGGAAAAATGGCCCCGGCCACGGACCATGACGTCATATGCGAAGCTAACTAAAAGGCCGACGGCTTTATGGAACATCCGTCCAGGCCGAGATGACTTTCTCCTCGCGCGAAATAACGATATTAAACGGGTAAACGACCCGAATAGACAAGCTCGGAGGTCCTGTCGCTTTTGATGGCCTCCATCAACTAGGGGTGACGTAGGGTCAGGTTAGTTTTCGCCGCCAATTTGAGTCAATCATGGATCAGCCGCAACGTCACCAGATATTGACTTTGAATAGCCGTTAACAACTCAGCAGTCATACACCAGATTACCGGTAAATAGCACCTGCATACAATGAAGAATATTTGTAGAACACCGACAGCTGCCAATGCATCTGCATGACATCTACGGCCAGCCCAATTATGCCGTTCTGGGATAGAGTGGCTCTCCAAGGCAGCGAGAGAGCGAGGCAGAGCAAGCGCGGACTACATTATGCGTGCGCTCCAGACGGTTTCTACTTTTTGTCGTTTTTGTATAGTATCGGGTTCGCGATATCGGTTTCTGCGTTTTTACGAGCAATGGTTCGAGCGGATTAAGCCTTCGAAGGGTCGGCATAACTGAGCATAATTGACGATAAAGTGATGCATTTGCGAGCGCATGAGGAGCGAAGATAGACAAATTCATGCTAAATCATTTTCAATTTAGGGCATTGATTACCCAACCAAGAAAACATGCTCGACACGATGGGATAGAGAATGGTGGGACTTTAGTCAGGGTGAGTGACATAGCGGAGGTAACACTAATCAGTGGTGGGCTAGTGGAATGATGGGGGTTTTAGGTGGGGTGGTGACCGTCGCCCATCGACGGCGGTGGGTTTCATAGTGGGACGGTGACACGGGTCGGTGGTGGGGTCAGGCTGGGACGTTCTCTGCCAATCGGCGGTGGGCTCTGGCCTCTGAGTGAGTGAGATGCTTCCACTGCTGGTCGGCTGTGGTGGGTTCACAGTGAGTGAGACATTGGCTCCCGGTTGGCGGTCTGTTCCATCGCCCCGACAATCAGCGGGCCCGGCTCAACGACCGCCGAGACCCGGCCACCCCGACCGCACGGAGCGCCGCTCAAACAGCCGACAGCAGCTCGGTGTCGGCCTTTGGAAGTGGCGCGCTCCGGCGGCCGCCGACCGCGTGGCCCGTCCATAAAATAGTCATTCATCATGCGGTGCGGCCGGCGCCGTTCGCCACTAAGTGACGCCCACTCAGCGCTGTACATTTTCAGAACGGCAGCGCCCGCTCCGGAATGGACCGAAACAAACTCCCGGGACACCAGCTCCCGGGGTCAGCAGGGAGGTTGCAGCTCCCTGGGACAGCGGGATAGCAGCTCCCGGGACAGAAGGGAGGGCGCAGCTCCCTGGCATAGAGAAGGGTGCAACTCTCCGGGACAGCGAGGACAGCAACTCTCTAGGACAGGAGGAAAGATCTGGCTCCCTGGAAAAGGGAGGCATCATCGTCAGAGACAGAAAAGCTTATCGGAGCAGGGAAAGAGAGCGCAGTCTGCTCCCGAAAGAGGACCGTAGGGTACACAGCTCCTCTAACAAGCCACGGCAGCACGCGCCGGCCAGCCGCGCGCGTGCCCGGCCTTGTTGTGTCCGCCCCGCAGTGTCCGTGCCGCGCCCACAGACACACGCTCAGACTGACAGACTGCCGGCGCGCCTGAGAGCCGCCGCAGGTGGCCGCCGCGCCGCCAATCGGCTAACTTGGCCGACACAGACACCGCCGATATACGACCGGCGCCGGCGGCACCCAAACTGAGTTATGATCGTCGCCACCTGACGAGGGCTGACTCAATAGTTGGGCCGCAGCGCCCGTGTCGGCCGGCCGGCCGTGGTTGGAACTTGTGCCAACGGCGGCCGAACGGCAGCCACCAGGGTCACCGCGAGCGACCAGAGGCGGCACATATGAGCCGGCCTCCGCTCCACAGGGTCCGTGGAACCGTCTCATATCTCCCACACGCCGAGCAGGCCGATGTTCAGGCACCGACATCGAACATTACTGAGCGAACTCCCGTCGGAACCGCCATGCGGCCAGGGTTAGCGAGGCACAGGTCAGCATCGTGGAACGAAGTTGGTCTGAAAGTATGCTTCCTATATCGAAAGATTGAATCCCAAGTTGTTGCTGTTTCTTGGTTCCTTCTGCTGTGAAAGTCCGCAACTCCTCCACACTAGCTCGGGGAGGATGGTTTCCCAGCAGACCTTCCGTGTCTGCCAGTTGAACTGATGCGCAGTTGAGTTACTTCCCCAGCGTCTGTGTGCTGAGGTATTGCTAAAGCTTGTGAGCGGACCACCTGAGAGAAGACACGATGTTCAATACACTGGAAAATGCCCAAAGGATACGCATCGGTTTAGGCAGAACCTTCTGTATTGTGAGATACAAATACACTCAGCTAGAGTGTCTCGGTGAGTGCGTGTCGTCTGGACTTGTTACGGCCGATCGGCTCGTCCGATGGTATTTACCCCTATGGAGGTCCATCACGGTCCAATAGCCCCTCACGGAGAGGTCGGTCACATCTGACAATTCACCAATGTTGGTCCGTCATGGCTCACGCTCAGTTTGCAGCTCGGCCTATAGTTTCCAGTCCTGGTGCAGCGACAATGTAAGCCCCGACTACCACCACATTCCGAACATTGAGTATGAACTGTAGTTCCCCGGACGAGGCCCTCATCAGCCGAGGCGCCTGGTAATGATGCAAGTTTCACATAAACTTAGGGGCAGTAAGATCTACAACATTTGTTGTCGGGGTATTCAAACTAGCGACCTTACAAAAGACCAACAGTGCTGGACCCTCATGACCCACATACATTACATGAAAGCTCGCCAAAGCCAGGGCACGGCGTTTTTCCAGAAACCCGTGTGACAGAGGCGGTCGGCATATCTCTGGGCGTTTTTCATTAGTGGGCGGCGGTCGGCGGCGCGGCGGTCGCCGGGCGCGGTTGTCAGTTACCGGTGCGTTCGTTACTCTGTCTGTGCTGTGACGCGCGCCGCCCATGGTTGTCGGCCGGCCGCACAGCGCCGCTCCGAGCCGCCAATAAAAACCACCGTTCGTCTTCCGAGCTGTCGCCGAGTTTGGGCCGCCGAGGCGCTCCCCATACCTGGAGCGAGCCTGCGAGCGGCCGGGCGGGGCGCGGACAGGATTTGCGGGACAAGGCCGGCGAAACTGGGAAATTCCCGCAGTCGCAAACAGTAAGAAACATCAATCAGGACTGGCAGAACACAGCAGCGGCTGGTCTCCAATGCACAGTGGGGATTTTTTCCGATCTAGCACGTATTTATTCGTAGAGGGCAAACCATAGGTAGAATTGTAGCCAGATTGTGCACAGATGTTGGCTGGTGTGTCCTGGTGAGAATTTTACCTGTAAATGTGCATAATCAACATAGTATAGGGGGTTCAATTGGACCCCCCGCTCAGCCGTTTGGCCCCTGATCAAGCTAGAGCTTCGCGGAAAAGTCAAGCGTGCTGCCTATGACGAAATTAGGCCGAATATATCCAATTTCAAAGTCCAAGGTCATAAGCTGACTTTCCAAGTCAGTTTAATGACCCAACTAAAGTTGGGAAATCGAGACCTCTTGGAACTTCGCAAAGTTAGGGTGTTACGGGGTATTTTGGGGTGCTGACATAGGCGTCGCCAGAGATTTTCGGTTGGGGGGGCAAAATCAACTTTTGAGTTAAATCTTGCCTTTCCCCAGTCGTTACTCACTTGTTTTACATATCATTCGACGCGCAATGGTGCGAGGAATCCAATGTTGACAAAGTTTCTCTTCTAGCTATGACATGTAATTTTTTTTTAGGTACAGAAAAATTCGAAATTTTGAAATTTCTGGACAAAAACGACCGGTAGAATTACAGTTGCTGCGATTGCCCTGTGCAGACGCTCGTCGCTCATGATCACATAGGCGGCGGAACGGGGAGGGCAACGGGTTACCGTGCCCCCTTTGATTTTGGCATTTTAACATTAGCCCTATGGGCGTTGCATGGAAAGAATTGTACTAAAAGTCGGCATTACCCCCCTTAATTGAAGGTGTTCCGCCGCACTGCATGATCAT